GCTTGCACTCCGGACTCGGCCTCCCCGGCTTGGGGCTGGGCTTTCTCTCGTCGCAATCCAGATGTCGGATTAATAGTCGGTAGTGTCACCTAGTGCCCGGTTATGCTTAGGGCGCCTCGCGTATCCCGGGGCAGCCCTCCTGGGCTGGGGGGAGTCCCCGGTCACTGCCGTGCTGGCCAGGCCCGGCAGGGCCTTGCTCAAGCGGTGCCAGTATCTGGATTTCAGCCTCGGTTGTGGCACCGGCTGCAGCCCGCAATCCAGATGTCGGATTAATAGTCGGTAGTGTCACCTAGTGCCCGGTTATGCTTAGGGCGCCTCGCGTATCCCGGGGCAGCCCTCCTGGGCTGGGGGGAGTCCCCGGTCACTGCCGTGCTGGCCAGGCCCGGCAGGGCCTTGCTCAAGCGGTGCCAGTATCTGGATTTCAGCCTCGGTTGTGGCACCGGCTGCAGCCCCCCAGAGCTCGCCTGCATCGCGTTGTCAAGGGTGGGCTGCGTGTGTGCAGCCAAAAAGCAAGTGCAGGCAAGATCTTGGTTAGTGACAATGATCTGCAGTGCTCTCCTTGGGAGCATGCCTGATCTGAAGAGATCTTCTGTAAACCTGAATTAAGGAGTTGTTGCAATAGTTAATTATTTACTGTAGGTTACGAGTCCTTCCTGAGGACCAAGGAGTATTTGGAAATTCAGAGTTTCTTCCAAGCTGCCTTGGCTAAATGCCTACATTAAGCGTATTTAAAGAAGGGTTGCTGTACGACAAAGACTTTGCTGACTTTGGGCAGTTCTGGAGAGTATAAAATCAAAGGGAAAGAGAAAGGGTTGAACTCTGGGGAATGTGTGCTCTCTAGAGGAACCTCTTGGCCTGTTGACTCTGGTGTGCAGAAGAGGGATGCCCCTGTACATAGGGAAACTAGGGACATCAGTGTTTGAGGGGGGCAAAAGTACTGGGGCCATGATCAGATAAACATGTAGGATGCTATCAGAGTTGTTTAAGAAGCTATCCACCTATCAGTGGAGATGTATCTCAGTGGAGATGTGTCTCATGTACCTTTGTGTTCCCCTTGTGACAAGAGCACTGTATAGGTTTGAAGCCAGCTTTGTAAAACCTATTGCTATGACTGACATAGTCTGATTTGTCTTATTTAAGTAGAGGTCAAACCACAAAAAAAGCTATGGTGGGTGTAATGTACACTTTGGTTTAAGTGAATCGGACTGTTTCTCAGACTGTGCAAGTGCCAAAAGCAAAACTGAAGTCTCCTGAGTAGTAATCCTGTGCCTAGGCCATGGGAGTGTGAGAGAGTCCTTATTTAGATAGCCACAATTGAAAATTGGGCCCAAAATACTCGCATAAATAAACTGAGCTCAGACAGAATGTGGTCATGTGAAGTTAGTTTTCCATGAGGACTAGAGAGGCCTAATATAAGCCAAGATGCTGTCTTTCTTTTTGATAGGAGTGCTTTGGACTAGTTAATTTTTCAAGTTTATGTTCTCATAATAAATAGAGTTTCAGTAACTCACAACCTTATTTGACTTTTTTTCTTTTTTAAATTTCTACTCTATAAAGTGTGGAAAAGCTTGATGCAGTAGCTAGAACATAAATTAGAAAGTTTAGTCTCTTCCCAGAGTAAAAATGTTTAATGGATTGGATTTTGGAAATACAGCACAAGTTAGTTTAATTTAAAAAAAAAAATAGAACTGGGGAGCAGTCTCTCCATGTGCTTGTAACCTGGGGCCCTTACATTGCCAACCTCACACCTCTGAATAACTTAATCTAGATGAGTAGGCTTTGTGTACAGTAGGACCCTTCATTCTGAATAAAGTAACTCATAGACCTTGGTATCTGTGAGACTGCAACCTCAGGCACGAGGGCTTGGTATCTCACTGTAGTATCCTAACAGCTGCATACAAGAACGGGGCTGTCTTGGGAGGAGGAACTTGCCAAGTCATAGCTCTTGCATAATCAGAGCTGAGAACTGAGAAACTGTGGCTGTTAGAAAGCAGGGCCCTGTGTTAGAGCAATTCAGTGGCTTGTAGGGTTGGGTTTTGTCAAGAAACAAAGTGCAAATAGAAGGGCAGAGTTCGGGTTTATTTTTTTGAGGCATTGTGAACAAATGTCTTGGGAAACCTCTGTTCCATACAGAAAACAAATTTGTCCAGTATTTATTTTAACAGCAGAAATAAAGCTTGCCATGAGAAAGTACTCTTGATGTTGTCCTTGGATTTCTGTACCTGTTCCTTCCTTCCTGGGGAAGGAAGCTAATAAAGCAACTGACAATGTATCAATCTTAATAGTGCCAGCCATATGAGCTGTCATTAAAATAATGTCCATTAACCCCTGGGGTTTTTTCAGAAAAGGGCGGAGAAACAGGCAACTGGACTAGAACTCATGAAATCTAAAAATAAACAGGACTTATCTATTTCTGTGGAGTTTGGGGGATGAGTTTGGTCATGCTTTCGAATTCTTTTGTACAACCTTAATAAATAAAGCTCTTAACCTTAGAACACATGCCCTTAAATCTTTGATATTAACCTTTATTTTTATCTTTGGATAGATCTCCCTAGGAGCTGGGGCTTTAAGGAAAAATACCAGTTAGCATGAAATTAGGCATAAACTGTGGTTATTTAAAAAAAATTTTAGGAGAGATCCAGTATGCTATGTTTGTACCTCTTTTCTAGTTGTGTTGTAAAAATGCAGGATACATGTATTGGTGATGTGTGTTGGCAGTTTTTTAAGTTAGGTTGTTTTTTTATCTGTTGCAGCTCACGATGTCTAAAAAAATCCATGGGGGCTCCGTTGTGGAGATGCAAGGAGATGAAATGACACGGGTCATCTGGGAACTGATTAAAGAAAAGCTGATTTTTCCTTACGTAGATCTGGATTTGCACAGGTAATGGCTCTTTATGACACACAGCCACTTTGTACTGCAATTTGCATGTGTTATTAAGCATTGATCATGTTTCACTTAGCACTGAGAGCCTTACAGCTCCTCCTGCACTAGTGCAGAGAGGCTAACTAACCCTTTTTATACTGGTAAAGTTCCCAGCAGACTCCCCTGGTTAACTTACCTATGGTTAACTTACCTAAGGGCCAACCTCACTAAGTTCTCTGGAAAGCACACGCTCAAGGTGAAGACATTTTGTCAAAGTCTGGCAGTCCCTCTGGGGTTCGGGTTCCTCACAGTAGTAAGCAGTGAATGCTTAATTGTAAGTTAGCTTCTGTACTGTGCCTCTAAGGTTTTCCACAGATGTGGTCTGCATTTTTATCTCCTGTGTCTTGGTTTTCCAGCACCTGGGCAGTCTGCATGGCTTCTTGCAGCCTAAACAATTAGAAACATGGGGTGTTTCAGCCACTCCCTGACTTGAAGCCTAGCATCTGTGGACTCTGAGTAGGTTTACAGCTTCTTGCAATCTCTGAAGATCTGCCCAGAGGGCAAAAGGGTGGTTGTAGGGCACAGACTCTGCCCTGATGTCTGTAGGCTTGAGCTCTGCTACTGACAGTGTGAGCTAACTGTTGCAATTATTTCCCAAACCTAGGCTGTGCTCCTACACTCTCTTCTAGAGAAGACAAATACTAGCAGCTGGTATGGCAAAAGAGACTTGCTATCTACAGTGTCTGGTCAAGCAGAACAAATAATCTCTCCCCGTTCTAGCCACTGAGCTATAATTATTAGAGAAGTATCCAGCTGCATTGCTCCTAGCCATATGAACAGAGGCCTTCAATGATATCTGCCATTATTAAACTCACAAGTCTGACCTCTTTCCCTGCTCCTGGAGTAATTTGTATGCCACCTACATCAGGCTTTCTACTTGCTGGTGTTAAGAATCAAGCAAACAGGAACCCAGCAGCATAATACACACACGCAGTCTGGAGCACATCCCTTTTCAATGAGGGGTGGGAGGAGGGAAAGTGGACCCCTGGCTGAGGCAGCACAATGGCTAAATTCATGTACAGCTGGCTATGCTTCAGGGCTGTCCCATGCTGGGCACCATTGTTCTCCAAAAGCTATTAAAACAGTGAGTGTGGGAAATGTGCTTCCTCTAACTGTTTGAGGGGAACATTGGCAGTTTTGCTGCTGGAGCAGCATTGTGGGGTCCATTGTCAAAGCAGTTTTTAAGCCTAGTGTAGCTTCATATGTTCAGTACATGAAGGAAGGCAGAACCCTCAGCACAAGAGGTTTGAAATAAAGGTCCATATTCATCTGGATGTTGTGCTGTGCCATACCATTAGAATCCCAGACTGAAAGCTTCCATTGCAGCAAGCTCAGAAGGGAAGGCAAAGGAGATACTGGCTCTGTCTCATGCTAGCAGACAGGCTCAGCCATAAGCTGAAGCTGTCCTTTCTCTAACCCCCTACAAGCAGCAGAAGTATCAGTATATGAGCCTATGTTTTCTTCCAGTCTAGCAGCATTTGCACTGGAAGAGGGATAACTTCGGTTATGGCAGAGTGCTGGAACCACACTCATAGGCACATATGGTGTCTGGTTTCTTTCTGTTGGACGCAAATGTCCTGGGCAGTTCTGACCATCTTTGTGGGTTTGTTACAGCTATGACTTGGGCATTGAGCGTCGCGATGCTACAAATGATAAAGTAACTGTGGAAGCTGCTGAAGCCATAAAGAAATACAACGTTGGCATAAAGTGTGCAACCATCACTCCTGATGAGAAAAGAGTGGAGGAGTTCAAGTTGAAGCAGATGTGGAAGTCTCCCAATGGGACAATTAGAAACATCCTAGGTGGCACTGTCTTCAGGGAGGCCATTATCTGCAACAACATTCCCCGGCTGGTGTCTGGATGGGTGAAACCCATTGTCATTGGCCGTCATGCTTATGGGGATCAAGTGAGTCACTTCAGTGCTTCCCCTCTTTTATCTGAACAGGCTTAGTCCTAACTCATAGAACTACAAAGACTTAGACATCCCTGTGCTGCTTTTATCCCTTGTACTCTACCTGGGAGAGGGTGCATGCTACTGCTTTGTTTGTACAGCACCTAGTGAAGTGTGGGAGAGCCTGGTCCATGCCCTGCTTCCTTAGACAATGTAGCTGTATAAACAGCATTCAGGGGCCTGTGCTTGGATTAGATAGGTCTGTACCTAAACACGTGGTATAACTCTTCTAAGTTATTTTTCTTCACCTCTGCAGACTCCTCCTCCCTCAATAGCAGTATATTTAGAAAAATATCCTTTACACTGCCCATCTTACTTCTCAGAAGGACTTTTTGGTAGCAAATGTTGCTCACAGCAAAAATGGATCAGAGTGAGTGATTTCTAGAAGTGGGCAAAGTTGCCTTCTGTGCATGGGTGTGGATTTGTTTTCTTTTTTGTTTAAACTGTGATCTGCTTCTTAAACTTACTTGCACAGCACTCCTGCAGAGTTGGTATTCATACTGGACACATCAGGCTGTGGTATCAAAGTAGGGAAATATCCTTTATCAGACCTCTCCTGGCAGAGGTAGTACAAAGCCATGGAAAACCCTAGCATGGCACTCTGGCCTTTGGGCAGCCCAGAGGACAAGAATCAACAGTGCTGGTCTCCATGAGTAATGATATGCTGTAAAGCAGCCAAACATGACAAGAGAAAAGTCTTCTAGAAGAGCCAAATGCTTAAATAGATGGGTAAACCCACAAACTGAGGGCAAGTCATAAGACTAGCTGGGGTGGGAAGGTAAAAGAATAAATTTCCAAAAGGAAAATAATTGTAGAGCCCTGACACTAGAAAAGAATGGGGTTCAACATCCTTAACAGTACTGAATAGTTGAGAAGGTCAAAATAATAATAGGAAACAATGGATTAAGGGGAAAGGATTGAAACCCTGCCAAAGTATGAGATTAAAGTGAAAGAAATAATGTAAGAACATGTAAAGGACACAGGAGCAAGATACTTCTGTAACTTTTAGAACAATTCAGCGAACTGATTCCCTCAATAGGAGGGAAACTACTTAGAAAAGGATGATGAATTGCAAGGAAATGTAACCTTAAATAGTACTGTTCAGGGCAGTTGGGAAGATGAGACACCATTTAAAAACTTTAAGTACATGTTGGCTCTGCTTTGGAGTCTGTAGCTCAGAGGAGCAAAATGTGTATCTATTTACAGAATTCAAAGAACTCTTACAACAGATTGGCCTTTCAAATGTCATCATGGATAGAAATAATTTTATTAAGGTGCTGTATGATTCCCCCTTATTCATGAGATCTGTAGTTGTGATATGAATGGCTTTTTTTGAGGCAGGGAGAGGAGCATTTCTACTCACAGGCCACACAACACTCTGAATACTTTGCACTTTAAAACTTAAGTGCATCTGCAAAAATACTCTGCCAATTGATGGGGCCCAAGAATCTGTAAGCTTCTTCCCTTAAAGAGAAAAATCTCTTCTGAAACAGGCAGACTCTTGACTACTTGTCTTTCTAATCTCTAGTAAAATAATCTGATGACCACATGGCTGAGTAAACAGAGCCTGTTCAATGGGGTTTTTAGTACAACTGATTGCTTTTTTTGCACCCTGCCCTCACAAATGTGGGTTGTCTTTTATGGATCTGTCCTCTTGATAGATAAAATCACAATACTATTATTTATTTTTTTAACAGTACAGAGCAACTGATTTTGTGGTACCTGGGCCTGGAAAAGTAGAGATGACCTATACTCCAGCAGATGGAGGCAAACCAGTCACATATCTGGTCCATAACTTTGAAAGTAGGTATTGTCTTTAAGTTGTGATTAAATCTGATATTTTTGGTTTAATGCAGCCTTTAAGTATCAGTCAGATCTGTTTGGTAAAATATGCCTTCGAGGTAGAGTCAGGAAGAAGGTCTGGGCCTTCTTCATCTATCTGAGAAGTACTGAAGGATACTTGAAACCTTCCTGGGATCAAAGAGGCATATCAAACACACAATCATACTAGACTGGCCACCTGTCATGCTCCTTGTATGATGTCACTAGTAGTGGCATGTATAGGGTTTTTCCTCTGATAAGAGCGAAACTTGGCTTGACCTAAGGGGAGATATAGTTAAGAACAATTCAGGTATAATTCTTTCTGGTTTTAGTTTGTCTTACTGGGTTCTACATACTTCTGCAATTAGTACCTTTCTTTAAGCAATCTTTTTTCAATAGAAGTGAGAACTGATGCTTACTCTGCAAGGTGGAAAGGAGATTTGACAAGGATGCTTCTGACTGTGTAGGCTCTAACTGTTTTAACAGATGCAGCCCCAGATGTATTGATGTCCCTCCTAGCAATGTTGCTGTGCTGGTTGTGGACATTGCTAGCCTTAGGAGGAAGAGCCCTGACATTGCTGGGCTTTGTTGCATGAAAACAATAACACACACATTGCTAGAACTCAGGGTGTTTCTCTAGGGGCAGGATTCAGGAACACATCACAAGTCATCTCTCCTGCTTATCAGTGATCAAAGGGTTCAGGATTTGAAGCTTTATGGTGATCTATGTATGTGAGCGTGCAATGTTTTGTTTCTAGCTACAGAAATCTAATGTATCCATGTAAACCACAGAATCCTAGTTTGTATGGAGTTGGCTTGGCAAACAGGTACCAGGACTGCCATATGACCCTCTTCTGTAATACTTGATTTCTCTGGCATTCATGCTTGTGGGAGCCTAAATCTCTAGTCTCTCTTGTTGCATGGCCTTTCATCTGGAGTTGCCAGTCCTAATCTGTTGTCATCTGATAGGCGACTGGTAAGCCATTGGAGATGTCTGGCAGTTCCAGCTGCCAGTCTGATTCACTGCTCTGGGTTGCATCAGCAAGCAGAAAGCAAGGAAGTGCAAAGATGGCAGATTACTGCTGTTGCTCTGGGGGACCTCCCCTCCCCACAGATAACTGTTGTGCCAGCGTATCTCCACCATGCATAAGGGAAGCTTGTCCTATTGCTATACTAATATGTTCAACCTTGACACTGAAGCAAGAGATTTTAATAGGCAGTAGGATTGTATGATTGCAACAACCTATATGCAAATAAGTATTTGAATAAAACTTAATGGCTGACATCTAGCAACTATGAAATCATGGCTCCAGAGGACACAGTCTCTTTAACTGATCAGACTCTGTTCTGCCCTTGACTCACTAAGGGAGGCAGGGGGACAACATGTATATTTGCTGGTAACAACAGGAACTTCATTCCCTGCCAATATCAACTTTAAATGACCTTGCTATCTTGGCAAGCAGATAAACCTCCTCTGGCTTCCCCTCTTCATTCTGCATGCACGTCCATGTAGTCCTTACCTCCAGATGGCTGTTACAAATGAGATTAGGAAAAGGTATTTTCAAAAATAATAAATTTGGGGTGTTTCCAGAGCAAAGATCTCTGATAAAGGCACTGTGCAATGAACTGGAGAGGTGGTGATGGTGAGGTGCTTAAAATTAAGTACATAGTACCTACCTTTCACTAGAAAGAGCTGTGCTGCATGTAAAGCTGTGTGCCTTTCCTGTCGCAGTCTCCCTTGTCCTGCAGGACACAGTACTCAGGATGGTAAAACTTTTTAATGAAGCCCTAGACCCTACTTTCACCCACAGTCAGCCTCTCATGATCTGAATGCTGCTTTCCCTCAGGTGAGCTGGGCTGTAAGTTTAAGGCACTTCCGTTCAGGCTGCTAATACTTCTGCATTACACAACCTAAATCATGTGAGTGTTAATAGTTCCTCAGAGCCTTCTCAGGACTTTCCCTGTGCACCCAGATAACTGGCATGTTCTTCCCACAACTTGCTGGAAGTGAGCCTGAGCAGGTGAAACAAAGCTGCAGGGTAGGCCAGAGTCATGCGCTGAAAAGATGTGGGAATGCATGTGGGAACTTGTTTACCTGAGCTAGGCAAAGCAGCCTCTGACTGTTGGAGTTAGTTCTGCAGGGCAGTCAAAGCCTGAAAGTACAAGGCACTTAAGATGGGAGCAAACCCATTTCTAGTTTTGACTGAGACTCCTGCTCCAAACTGCTGCCTGCCGCTTTGATAGAAAAATACTCTGTATTACTTATATGGCTAATAGTAGTTCCGGCACACTCACTCCTGTCAGTTTTGCTGCTTAGGCTGGATTAGGAAGAAACTTCTTAGGGATATTAGATCACAGCATTAATATGTACCTAGCTGTAAAACAAAACCACCTTCCTATCCATGTGTCACAGGACTGCTGGAGCTTTCAGCTGATAGTGCAAAGTGAATCTTCTCTGGAAAAAACTGGCCTTAAATTGAGAACAATCTCAAGACACCTGGGGATAATGCCTGCCTGCCAGAGTGTGCTATGGGGAAACTCAAATCCTTAACCAAAACTAAATCTAGTTGATTCCTATCTGTTCTTCCTCCACTAACAGGCTGTGGTGGTGTAGCCATGGGAATGTACAATCTTGACCAGTCTATCAAGGATTTTGCCCACAGCTCCTTCCAGATGGCACTGTCTAAAGGCTGGCCTCTCTACATGAGCACTAAGAACACTATCCTGAAGAGATACGATGGTCGCTTTAAAGACATCTTCCAAGAGATCTATGACAGGTAACTAGGGTAGTTGTGTACTTCCTACCACGGTGCATAAGTCTGCAGTGGGAACATCCTCTCCAGCCTTGTGAGCTGCTACAGTTAATTCATCATTTTCAGACACTCAGCAGCACTTTGAGGGGGCTGCATGCCTTCCCTGTTGCAGCCTCCCTTGTCCTGCAGGACACTACTCAATGTTTGAAGCTCTGCTAAATGTGGCTGTGGTGTTCACCTCTCCTAGCAGAGTCACAGATTCTCTATGGGCTCACCTGTGATTCTGAAGCAGACTTGCGGTGGCCTAGCAAAGCAAGCAGGGAAGGAAAAAAAAAAAAAGAGTAAAGAAGATGCAAATTTCTTTCAAGTTTTTGTTGTGGGTTTGGTTTTTTTAGTCTTATCTCTGTGCACAATTACTTGCACAAGTTGTGCAATCCTTGTTTTTATCTATGTGACAAGGTGTTCTGGTTTTGTCTTTTTTTGTTTTTCAGAGAATACAAGTCCCAGTTTGAAGCCAAAAAGATCTGGTATGAGCATAGGCTCATTGATGACATGGTTGCTCAGGCCCTGAAATCTGAAGGAGGCTTTGTCTGGGCCTGCAAGAACTACGATGGGGATGTGCAGTCTGACTCTGTTGCGCAAGGTATGAGATGTTCCCTGTACTACACTGAAGTAGGCTCAGTAGCAGTCTCATGACCTCGTGTCATATCTTATGTAATGGCCCAGGAGGTGGTGTTGAGTCTCAGAACTTACATTTCAAACCTGTGGCCAGCCGTGGAGATAACAGGCAGGTCAAGAATTTCTGATGTCACTTTTACAAGAAAATCCATTGAATGTAGACTGTGTAGTTGCACTTCTTTAGCAGATGGCAGTTCCTACCACCATTGTAACTGATAAGCTTTCCATTCTAATGGCAGGTACCCAGGCAGCTGGGATTCTGTCACTGACAGTTTGAGTTAAGCCGACTGGTGGTGAGCATACTGGCAGATGCTCTACAGATAAATAAGAAAACCTTCAGGACCTAAAGTTACCTGTCATGTGTAAAGAGAGAAATTGCTATGTTTAACTTTACAGACTTGTAGTGATTGATCAAAATCCTATATAACCAAGCTGCCTGGTGCCAAAAAAAAATGTGGATACAGAAACCAACAGGGCAAGATGTGTGGCTTTATGTAATATGCTATTTCTAAAGTAATGCCAGTAAACTGCCTCCCACAGAACAAGGACGTATGTTGGGCTACTGAACAAAGAAGCTTTCAAAGACAGATCTCTGAAAGCTACAGGGTTAGAAGTTAAGTGAATGTCCAGTTTTGCCAGCTCATGGTTCCTTTCATTAGAGCAGATCCTCTTGATAGGAAGTAGGTTTGTTTCCTATCACCTTGTGGGAAAGACAGCAATTGACAGCCCAATGCTGCTTATTTAGGATTCTTTGTTCTCATACTGCATCTTTTCAGTAAAAATCTGTCCAGCAAGTTAGGTGAGAATACTAATTTTCTTGAAATAGTGCAGACTTCCTGCATATCTGTATTTCATGGTTCAAAAATTATGTTCAGACAAGCTCTAACTTTGATGTGTCAGGAATAGCCAGTTAGTTGCAGCAGCACTGCTCTTCAGGAGTACTTGCATCAAGGCTGGGAGGATGTGGGGGGATTAAGGGGCCTGTCCAAAGGAGACATTGAACTTTTTTAAAACTGTGTATTCTGTAGGCTATGGCTCTCTGGGGATGATGACCAGCGTGCTGATCTGCCCTGACGGCAAGACTGTTGAAGCAGAAGCTGCTCACGGCACAGTTACTCGTCACTACCGCATGCACCAGAAAGGCCAAGAAACATCCACTAATCCCATTGGTAAGCTGCTTTTCACTGCCCTTCAGTGGTCTCTACACATGTAAGAACAGGTATGGAGTAAGAACATCTGCATCCTTTCTGCAGAGAATTGCACCGCTGAGCAGTGAAACTGGTAGTTCATAAGGCATTTTTCTTCTGTGGAGATAGCTGCAGCCTGGAGCAAAAACATGCTGGAATCGAGTGAGTGTGAGCAATAAGCTAGACCTAAGCTAGCCTTTGAGACATGCTCTCACTCTTCAGGAAACAATGGGTTTATAGCACAATGGCCTTAAGGTTATGTTGGTTATTTTTTTAGTTTAATCTCCTTCCTGATGCTCCAAAAGACCCAGCCACCACCCAAACCATGTACACACTTAAAGTGTAAGTGCACCTAGAATGTGATGTGGTAAAGAGTCCTCTAGAATTGCATAGGGACCAGAGTGTAATGTAATACCAGGAAGAAGACTGCACCCTTCTATCATAAGGACAACTTTCTATGTAACCACAAAGTTCTACCACTGATCATTCTTTCTGACTTGGGCAGGAACAAAGTAAGATAAAGTGGCATGCACAAAGAGATTGCTGGAGGCAGGGAGTAGTTTCTGGTGTTTGCTTTTTAGAGCTGCACAAAAGGCAAAGGATGCCTAGATGAAGATAAGCATTCTCTTTTCCATACCAAATTTTCTATTATTTCTGTTTTCAGTTTTATTAATATTAAATAATTACTGTTCCATGTAACAGTTTAGAACCATGTCCAGAGAGTTCTAGAAGGACAGAGTAATCTAGTGTTCTCTCTCAGCCTCCATCTTTGCATGGACAAGAGGACTAGCTCACAGAGCTAAGCTGGACGACAACACTAGCCTCAAGAACTTTGCAATTGCCCTGGAAGAAGTCTGCATTGAGACCATCGAGTCTGGCTTCATGACAAAGGACCTCGCTGCCTGTATCAAAGGCCTGCCTAAGTAAGTATGTGAAGTAGTCAGCTGTGCTTGGAGGAGGCTGTTTTACTTAGTGTTTCTGAGCAGCGTTTGCTGGGAAGTTATTTTCAGTATGGTGAAGAATTGCTGGAGTCTGGGTCGCAGAACAGGGCCCATCTGTACCCAGTGCTGTACAAACAGAACATGAGTCACTCCCTGCTCGAATCAGCTAAGTCTAGGTTGCTCTGTCCCTGCTATTGTACCACATGCATGGGGAAATAAAGAAGGACCTGCAAAGATTTCTTTTATGTCAGATCCTGCCCTGCCCATTTATTAGAATGGAGACCTACTTCACTGCAAAATATCACCTGGCTACTTCCTCTCTGGAGCCTTTGGGCAAAAACCATCATCCTGATTAGTAGAACTCTTTTGGTTTTAGAGGCAAGACTTAAGAGTTCTTTGAACAGTCCTCCCCTGCTTTGAGTGTTTGAGTGGCTTTACAACTAAAATCTGTCTTGTTTTGTTTTCCCCCTCCTCAGTGTCACACGCTCTGACTACCTGAACACCTTTGAGTTCATGGACAAGCTTGCTGACAACTTGAAGGGGAAGTTGGCTTCTCTGCCCAGACTTTAAGGCATGGGTTCTACTCAAGTTCCACTAACAAAACATCTCCCACTTACACCAGAGTGTAAGTGGCACTGTATCACACTGTTGTGTAACATTCAAATACTAGACAAAAATGAACATGTACACCTTTTTAAATGTTTAAAAGACCATGTTTTCTTAAACCCCTTGAGCTGCTGGGCTAGGCCTTACTTTTGCTAAGCATCTGAATGTGATAGTATTCAAACTCAATGTAGGTCTGGATTCCTAATGTCATTCACAGCAGACCTGAGATTTTTCTCTATGACTCTGATCTGTGTTTCTTTTCTTTCTCTCAAACTGAAAGCCAGTCTGTGTCACAGCTCTGGTCAAACCAGTGGTGACTTACTGTCCAACAGACCTTAGAAATCAGAACCGTCCTCATGTCTTCAGTACTGTCTACTGAGTAGAAGTGAGCTCACAGGGCTATGCCAGCTCTACTGTAGCCCCTCTCCTACTTAATTTATCTTTTAGTGCCAACCAGAGCATAGCATCCTGATACTAAGGGATTTGGTCCCATTGCTACAGTCAGGACTGTAGCGTTTGAGAAGAAGCACTTAGTAAATGCTGGAAACAAGCCCTATAGGTTAAGAGCCTAATAAAGTCATGCTGCAGTGTCTAAATGCAGGCCATGCATTTAGTTATACTCTTCCTGACTGGATGTGAAGCATAGGAACTGTTACCTCTTCCCCCATCCCACAATTCATAAAGGTGCAAAACTTTTCTCCAGTTGTCTGGGCTATTACTTACCTTTCTGTTCTGATACAGCAAGTCAGATTATGACTGTGAAAAACTATTCCATCCATGGTTTTGTGTTTGGGGTTTGTGTTTTTTTTTTTTAAATATTTTAAACTAAAATAAAAGCCAACTAACATTCTCTGTGTCTCTCCTTCCTTTGTGTGATTAGCAGATATGGAGAAATTCTGCCTCAGACTCTCCAGTACATGTTGGAACAGACTATTGGAATGTGATATAAACACAAAATAATCTCTCCCTTCTTAGAGTAGGGTTCTAACTTGTTCTGGCCCATGGCAAAATGTGGTCTGTAATGTGGTGGTAAGCATCAAGTAGTGCACAAGAACTTCAAGGTACCACTTCCACTGAAATTTTGGTTTGGAGCTAATAGAAATTTAAACTGATGTATCACCACTCAACAAAGATCAGAAACTGGTTATACATGAGACAAACTCTCACCCTGCAGCTGACTAGCTTTAAGTGTTGGTTAGGATAGAAATGCAATCACATAATATTAACCTTTGGTTTGGGGTGAGCATGTGTTTGAAATTCATATGAATGAACACAGTGGTCTGCTATTTTGTTACTAACACAAACATGTAAGAAGTGCTGCTGTAAAAAGTCCCATTACTAACCCATAGAAGCTACAGAAACAATTATCAGGAACAGCTGGAGATCTACGTTCCAGCCTGGCTTCTGACATCAGTAGTTCAAATTACTGTGCCACAGGCAGGTCATACTGCAGCAGCACCTCTAACAAATTCCCTGTTATTTACTAGCTCCTTCCTGGCTTCTGGAGTTACAGAGTACCAGAGGAAGCTTAGTACCTTTCAGGAAACTGAACAAATAAATAAAGGGTCATTTTTAAATTTTATACTTTATTTTAATGATTTAACAGTACAGCTTAGTAGTAGCATTTACCTGACTGCAGATGACACTATTTTCCCTCTGTACTAACAAAGTTTCCATCTTCTGGAGAACTTTGCAGAGTACAGCAAGACCCAATCTATCCTCGTGAACTGATGGATGCTGCTGAAGTGCTGAGGAGAGGAAGGAACACTTGTCTCTGTGTTGGCAGAAGCAGCAGTAAGTGCAGTCATATGACCAGAGTGTGTCTCTCTGCTTTGCCATGGAGAGAAAGGAAACATTTTTCCTGCTTCCAAGGAGGCACATTCCCTTCCCCTTTACTACTAATACAATCCTTTCCCCACCACACCCTCAAACATTTAATACCAATAACCTTTGGAGTTAGACACCAGTAGACCCTAAAAAAGCAAGTGCTGTAGGCCAGTGGGCACTCAGTCTGCAATGGAAAAGAGTACAGGATTTCTTGAAACATGACTGTCTGCTTCACAGTATACCAGATGTTTCAGAGCTCTTGGGCAGATCCCTTGTAGCCCCCACCACCAGTAGTAGCCCTTTGCACCAACATTCCCATTAGCAGATCCCAGCAAAAGTTGTCTTCAGTCAAGGTATAGCCTAGCTTACCCTTGGTGTCAACACTGATGTAGTTAGATGTGTGTGTCTGTGTCCTATTTAGGGCAAGCTCAGGACTGGTGGAAGGCTCAGTTTTCAACTCCATAGATAAGCAAATCCCCACTGACAGCAAATACAGTGGGAGGGGATGTATCAGTTGTCTGACATACATGGCTCCCTTCCAGAGCAGCAGAGAGCTCTGACTTCTAGGGCTGTCCAAGGCTTTAGTCACCCTAAACGTGACTTCCCAGTGGACCGCTCTACCTGTACAGAAGCCACCTTTTCCAGGAGGTAACGCAAGGCAGTGTGTCAGCATGCCTCTTCTGCTTGCTGTCACAGCCTGGGCTGCTGCAACCCTTCCATACCCTTTCAGCAGCCCTTGCGGGTCTCTGCAGTGCCAGATCAGCCTCCCAGGATATACTCTCCCCAGGCTTGTGTAGGGCCAGGAGAGAACTGGCAGAGCCAGCTAGCTGTCTGTGGGGCCATGAGCACTTGAGCATAGAGACTTTTCATACAAACACCCCAGCATTTAAAGGTGGAGGGGGGAGGGCAGGAATAAGTGTCACAAAGTTTCTATACTGTTTAGAAGACTTTATTAATACTTTAAGATAAAAAATAAACTGCAAAACTTCAGAGAGATTCTAGCAAAGACACACAAGGCTCTAGCAGCTTGGGGGTTGCCTGTTCAACCACTGTTTTACTTCTGGCTCCATGTTTTTTCCCATTGTCACTAGCTTGCTTGCCTTGACACTGGGACATCCTTCAGGAAGCCATTCTTTTTCCTCTTTGATCTTCCTGGTCATTTCCTTGGCTTTGGCAGTTTTCTTTTTGGTTTTGTGGAGGGGGGAGTGGAAGAACTCCATGTCTGTAAATGGGTCACCCCGCCTCAGTTTCCTGCAGAACCAAAAGGATTAGACTGAACCATCAAGGTACTTGTTGAAATCATACACATATTCAGTCTCTAAAGTTTCTGATTTTAGTGAAATGCTTCTGCTATAGGATGACTGAGTGGTACAGTTTGTTCCTTGTCCAGTACAGGAATAGCTGTACCAGTACAGAGCACCTTCTAACCCAATGTAACCAACTCCTCACAAAGTTCAAATTGTGAGACTTTTCAGGGAAAAGAACATAGTATTACCCAGTAGCACAACAACAAAGTCATAATTTTAGGAATTAAATGGTTCTGTACAGTAGCCATTGGATGTACTGAATCTACAGTTTCTTAGGGAAAAGATGCAGCTACTTGTTTAAGTACTTGTATCTGCCAGAAAAAGCGAATATAGATAGAGCCTGCTCACAGGGGAGAACCCTCCTCAAAATCTTGCACTTCCTTCATTGAAACCCAATTAAAATGGAAGCATTACTCAGTCACTGTACAAAACTTCAGATGTCACAGAATGGCAGAAAGTGAAATTAGGGCTTTTGCTTAGCTGTCTTTATTTAGCCTGTATTTTATCCTCGCACTAATCCCTCACTAGCACTGGAGTACCACAGATGCAGTCTGCTAAGAGATGTGCTCATTTCAGTGAGGGAAATAACACCTTTGGTAGCTTGTTACCAGAAGCCTACACATGCATCTGTGCCGATGCAGAACTTTGGTTTAACCGCAGTGTGGTAGAAGAGGACAGGAACAAAGTGACAGAGGGTCCAGCCCTGGAGAGTGAGCACATGAGAGCAGAGCAAGGGGTGCAGCATGGGAGGGAATAGTTTAAAGCCCAACCTGTTGAGTTTGGGCTCTGCATAGCAGGCTGGGTCCCGTCTCCGCCTGGATGAGCACCCTGACACTTCTTCCAAGCTGGAGGAAGACAGAGTCCTGGCATTGGTCAAGTCCTGTAGTGGCCTGATCTCTGCAAAGGGAGACATTCAACTTGAGTTAATCAAAGTGTTTCCAAATCATTTCCAGATATCCTAAGAAACACAACTGCTAAATAGAGAAGGGCTGCATTACCAGGTTTCTTTGAACACTGCACAATTCTGAATTCAATCATATTCCCTCTAAACTCAGGAGACCATTTTTGTTCAAAATCACAGACCTGCTCCTCAGAAGCCAGCTCATGAATCAAATTAGGTTCCTCACTGAAAAAATACAGGTCACTAATACTGCTAGTATCATTGGGCCCTGATATAGTAGAAAAATGATACAAAAATGATAGTTGATAGTTCTAATGCCCAGGACCTTACAGCCTGGAGGAGAAAGCAAGTTTATGGCACCCAAACAACCTACCAGACTTCCAGCAAGACACAGGACCCTGTCAGTGTTTACCACAGCTTTCAAAATGAAGTCAGCCAAGAGGGGGAAGGCAGAACAAGCTTCCTCCCTCTCTAGAGCCCACTCTAGCTGTAACAGGCCTGTTTGTCAACAGCTGCAGGATGGAAAAACCCCACAGAACAACTCTCTTTACAGAGTATCCAATAACCCCAAGCTCCCAAAAAGGCTCGGCTTAACTACTGTATTACCAGCCAAGAGAAATACCCTCCTAATCCTTTAAAAAACAAACAAACAAACAACCCACAACCAAGAGAATTTAGGTGGTTCCTGATGAATTTCCTTTGAAGATACCACTTAGAGGTATAAAGTCTCAATCCTTGCAGCTCTAACCATTCCACACCAAAAACCTGCCACCTTCATCATATTTTGTGCCCCAATAATGCTGACTGTATCAGCATCAAAGGGTCAGCATCAAATTATACTTTTCAACTGCTTGAATAGTTGATTTTCTAAATTGACAGGCATGCCCTGTAGATAGCAAGAGCAGTAAAACGGGACTGGCAGCACGTGCTTCTAGTCTTTTCCCAATATCCACACATGAACAAATGACCAGAAATTCTTACAGGAATGCTGATAAACTAAAAGCAAATGCAGCCACAGAAATGACTGGCCAGCACAAGTGGAAGCATAAATGGTATATTGCACACTGATCTTTAACTCTGGAAAATGAGAGGAGGGGAAGAAAAATATAAGCACTTGCTGCGTGGATTTTTGACACTTATGTCCAAACATAGGTCCCCTCCCCAGCGTACACCACCTACCGGGTTCCTGTGAAGGTGGGCTCTGAGAACTTGACTCAACCTGGTTTCTTTCGCCAGATATTTCCTCTGCAGTCTTTTCTTTAAATATCAGGGACCTTTCTGGCCAAACAGAGGATTTCTCTGGCATTTTGTTGCCCTCAGTACTTAAGCTCTTGGAAACTGGTATATCCGTAAGCCTGGAGCAACCAGGCGAAGCTGCAGAACAGGTCACAGAGGAGGATTCAAGACTGTGTGAAACATCCATAAGATAGTTTGTAAGCGGTATTTCAGCTATCTGCTCCTCCAGGAAGGCGTCTGGCTCAGACAGCAGATCTGTAATGCAGGAAAACTTCCCCATCAGGACATTTTGGTTGGATGCAAGTTCCGCTGAACTTCCAATGAGTGCCTTGGCACCGTCACTTTGGCTGTCCAGGGAATCAGTCTCTGGAGGACTAGGGGTGTTCCTCTTCCTCTGAGGCTTCGGTTTGGGACAAGCCTCTTTTTTCAAAGCATTCATGTTGTTGTCAACTTTAGCTTGTCCCTTTTCTTGAAGGCCCCCTGTCTGTTTTTTATTGCTCTGAGCAGCTACCATCCTCTGAACTCTGGGGATTTTGCTAGCTTTGCTCCCAGGAACAGACCTGGGAGGTACAATTTCACCCCCTTCAAAATCTGCCTGGACACAACCCAAGTTTCCTAAAAGATCCAAAGGACAGACAATGTAAGTTTTCCTGCTACATTTCAGATTACCTGGCAAATCCTTTGTGCTCTCCTTAGCTACTCTTTGAATATCTATACATGGCCCAAAACCATCAACTTCATTTCTCTGATCACTACAACTGTTTTTCCTGACAGTCTTCTTCCTGCTTGTCTGGCTTCTTTTAGGCTGTTCTTCAGCTTTGGCCTCTGGTATTTTCATGCTGTTTGGCAGATTCTCACCAGAGTAATCTCTTTGCCTAATTACTCTAGGTTTCCTGTTGGTTTTCTGTCTGATGCTCTTTGTGCTCACACTTGAGTCCTCTTGCAAAGCACAGGCACTTGAGGTCTCTCTCCTCAAGAAAAGTGAATTTTGTAAACTGGAATCATCTGAGGGAACTTCAGGACTTGAGAAGGTACGAACTTGGCTTTTTGACAAGCTATCCATACTTTGGATCTCAAAGACAGCTTCCTTCTTAACCTGTTGCAGTAAGTCACCACTTCCAAGACTGTGCAGCTGTGCTGGATTCACCACATACGTTCTTCTGAGATCTTGGACTCCATCAAGAGAGCAGGAACGTTGCTCCACACCACAGCCTCTGTTCTTTCTGCTGAAAGCCCCCATGCAAACATTCTGCCTCATCTCAGAGGCTTCAGACTCACTAGAACATGTTGCAACTTTTGGCTGAAGCTTCTTCACATTTTGAGCACTCTCCTCACCTTGAGGTAGATCAGGACTACCTTCTGAATTGTTTATAATGGCATTTGTTTTCTTTTTTCCTGTGCTTGCTTTTTTAACAGTTGTTTTCTCATGAGTTTTACAATTACCTTTGCTTTTAACCTTTACAGGAACAAACTCGGGGACTTGGCTATTGTTAGGGTCCACTTCAACACCACACCCAGTTTCTTTAGCCTGTGGCCAATCACAGAAAATCTCTTTACCCAATGATTTTCTATCAGGAATAACAGTGGTTTGAGTAGGTGAAACCAGGGAGCTGGGAGATTTCAGCTGCAGCTGCATGTTGCTGGAGCTGCTGCTGTCCTTTGTGATACTCCACTGAGCTGCCTGAGTGGAACTGACACGTGGGAAGATATCCACACCAGAAGATGGAGTGCTGGTTGCAAACAGGGTGGAACGCTTTCTCCTCTGAGTAACATGTCCTTGGGAGAGACGATCAAAGAATTGTTTTACCATCTCATCACCCTCAGATGAAAGAGGATTACTTTCCCAGGCAAGCAGTGGCAAATTGTTGGAATTTTGTTCAGTAGCACACAAGCCCTCTGCTGGAAAGACAAAATGCATTCCTAAGACTGAGAAATGCAGCAGGCAAATGCCAGCTTTCCCCATACCACTAAAACCCATGCCCCACACACTGCCACAAATCCAGAGCATAGAAAAAAGTATGATTTTGTCTCTACAGGGACTCCTCAGACTCACTGTGTAACATAATTGCTGAGCTGACTCCCCTCAGAACAGAAGGGCAGCCCAAAGCAAGATCCTTTAACCAGTCCTAATATTTAGGAATGCTTATGATCTGTATGAGAGTTATTACTGATATGGCAAATCCACAAGGAAGAGAAGATGTGCATCTAGTCAGATTCTGCACCTTCAGACACTTCTGAAAATCTTATGTAAGTTCAGTGCCTATTACTCAGAAAGCCTGGTGAGTGATCTTGAGCTACTGCAAACATGCCAAACATCCCCACCAAGACATCCCATTCTGGGATATATGTAATTCTAGCGATATCAGCGTCAACTGAAGCATGCAGTTCCTAACAGTAATTAGGAGCTGTTGGAGTGATCGTTAGGAGCTAACTGGAGCTATGGCACTGCACTCATTCATTTCTGAACACAGGCATGCAAGTCATACCAGAAGAACGGCAAAAGATGCAAATTTACCTCCAAAGATGTGAGAGTCAAGAAAAGCCTCTTGTGCTTCCATTGCTTTAGTTGGCTTCTTCCCTTTCTCTTCCTGGTGGGACTGAGGCTCCTCAGCAGGCTGTGGTGACAAAGTGTCTTTGGAGGCAACAGGCACAACTTCCAGGAGCTCATTAGAAGGAGGTCTCTGAAGATCTAGTAAGGATGTCTGTACTGCTATGGAGCTGCCACCTTGCTGTCCTGCATCACGCAGCCTGGAAATGGGCACCCTCATCGGCATCCCTGCAGCCCTGGTGAGAAGGAAGAACAGCAATGGAGGAGGAACATTCCAGACCTGTGACAGGCCCCTGAATCCAGCAGAATAGCTACAGCTTTCGCCTCCATCAAGAGTTGTTGAAATACATTTCTGAAGGCTTCAAGTGCTGAAGAACACACTGCCCAGCCAGGACAGATCTCCCATTTTTGTGCAAGCACAACTCATAAGGAGAGCACACTGCTGCAGACACAGAAGCAGGAGAAAAGAAACCACTGAGGCAAGAAGGAAGTAAGGCCTTTCAGCGCACAGGTTGCGATCGCAGGTTCACTTTGCTGTGGAACACCAACACAGCACCTTGAAGCTATGTGTGTGGGCAGCTCCAAGGGCTCCCCTGTGTTCAAAGGGGAGACTAGACAGAGGAGAGACAGAACTTTAACACAAAGTTTACATCATACAAGCAGATGACTATTAAGCATTGATATGTAACAAACATCAAAGCAGCCAGCTATAGCACTCACTCAAGGGAACCTTGCCATGCTCACCAGCTACAAAGGAAAAACTACCTAAAAGCTATGTGCTTTCAAACAAAGGAGAGAGGAAGACCAATTTATGCATAGACTTGGCATCAGAACAAATAAGAAAAGGAGTGGCAGCAGAGTAAAGGACACAGAGTAAAGGACAACATCAAGCAGTGATGGTTTAGAGAAGACATCTCATGTAAAACAGACAACTGGGCTCATGCATAAAACACAAGAGGAAGTTTAGCATATCAAAATTCAGAACAAGCTTGGTGATATCTGACATTTTAAGGCCCACCTGACAAGCTGACCATCTGCAATATCATCGGCCCAGCTATCTTCAGTCATGCTGCTTTTCTGGCCATTGGACGAGGATGCAGAACTTGTATGGAACTGGAAAGCAGAGAAATAGAAGGGTGGTTTAAAGCTCTTGCAATCCTCTGTGCAAACTCCTACACAGAAACAGCAGCTCAGTTTCACCCTGGAAAGTATGTCAAATACTGCTGGTGACCCTCTCCCATTTAAAATTGTACAAATTATGGAATAAATTGCAGCAGTCAGATTCTGTCTCCAGAGGCTTAACGATTAAGTTAAACTAGTTCAGATAATCTGAGACTAGTAATCAGGAATATTTTCCCACCCACCCATGAGACAACACATAGAGAAAGCGTCCTATTCCTGATCCCAAGTTGCCGTGGTAACATTTGAAAAAAGAAATTGAAAAGAAGTCACAACCTGTCATAGCAGAAGAGCCTACTGGCCAATACAGCTAATGACCCAGAGGGCGGCATTTTAAAATTTTAGCCTTTCCTACAGAAGAAGTTACCCTGGAAATCATTAACACCAAGCTCACACAAGGACACAGCCAGCAAGAAGACAATTCAAGCAAGAAGAAAAACAGTTGAAGCATTAAACACTGAAGTGAGCAGGCAACACAAAGCAAAATACAGAGACGAACACATCCCCCTTCCCAGAGCAGTGTGCTCTTGTTTCCCATGGTTTACCTCAGACAGCCGGGCCATCTTAACTGCAGCCATAAGGTTTTCAAATTCTTTCAAGGTGTTATTCTATGTTGAGGTAATAAAGAGAGAAAAACCATAAAGACATTAAATCAAAACATCTATTCCAACAAGGATGCTGGTAGCCAGAGCAAGGCCCATTCTGGGGAGAAGACAGCTTGGAAGAAAGAGTAAGCAAATGAATGATGACATTTTTCATATGCAGAGCGTATGGACAGTCAGTGACAGCTCACTCCTCCTAAGGCTGAGATGCTAGTGCTGCATACCTTGCCCACCACCCCCCTGCCACGCCAGCCACACCGTTAGTGCTGTACCAGGAAGGAGAGCTTGTGCCGCAGCACAGCGTTCTGGAAGTGGCACTGCTCCACCTCCTTCTGTAAGATGGTCTTCTCCTGGGTGAGCCGCTGTGCATTGGCTTTCTCCGCATTGAGGGCCAGGGCCAGTGCTTTATTGTTGTGCTTTAGGGAGACTTTAATAGTGGAGGAGTTGTCTGTAAGCGACAGAGAAGTATTGCACAGAGTCAGAATCCAAGTTTTCATCCATACCTCTTCCCTCATCATACTTCTTCCTCTTCCCAGAATAGCCTCCCTCAGGCTCAGAGCTCTACAATTCAATAGCCCCTGCACAAAGTCAGCAGTGTAATTCCTTCCAGCAACAGAAGTCTCCAGAGAACAGCAGGGAAAACTTTCCATAATAACCTGCACACTTCAGACGGACACTCTCTCCGTCCCCAGTGGGTCACACTCAGTCAGCCAGCTACCACTTCAATTCTTAATGAAAAATTGGTTTATTCTTAATGAAGAGGCAGTTCAGGTGCTGAGTTTAGAAAGATATGCTTCTGACTTTGAACAAGTTGCCTATAACTCCGAGTCCTCATCTCCAACCAAAAAGAGGGAGAAAAACCTACTTTCCTCTGTAGTAGCCCTTGAGCAGATTTAGATCCATGTTTCCCAATTTCAAAACAAATAAATAAAAGTAACAGAAATATCCAGCCTTCTCAAAGTAGTCCAAATTATCTCATACACTATCATTGTGTTGTTTCCCCCATAAAACAAATCACAGTTGGGCTAGCTTATGCGCAGGATTGCATATACACTAAAATACTTTCCACACCTCTTATTTTTGCTGTTTGAACCCTAAAGACTTGGTTACCCAGACACGGCTGTCTAATGCCATCTGAGATGCTGCCAAGCAGCCTGTGATGCCCCTGGCTGCTGCTCCAAAAGTTCTGCTTTAACCTGCCAGTCACAGATACCTCAAACACCTTTGGGCACCTCAAGTGGCACTTGCAGGGTACTGAATTCTCTAGAAACCCAGAGGCAGAGAAGCAGCTGTTAAATACAAGCTCTGGGTAAGAGACAGCCATCCACCACCACAACCAAAGGCACAGTTACAAGCTGATGTAGCTGCCAAGCTCTGCATATGCCGCAACGCAAAATACACTCACTAATTATTTTCGTTTTGATTTTTGATGCAAGCGAGGCATTCAACTTTGCAGTCCTCAAGGCTCCGTTTTTCTTCTCCCGCATCCGCTCTCTTACACCACTCAGGCTGAAGAAGGATGTTTCAGTCGCCTCCCGAGATGCCATAGCTGGAGAGAGCGACACCAAGCAGAGTTAGCACCCGCAGTCTTCCCTTCAACGAGTACTTACCAGCCAAAACTTACACTCTC